AGAGCTCATTCAGTTTCAGCTTCGTCAAAGAAATGGCACGGCTCCATGTACATCAACGAGATAGTCATTTAATCTGCATGGGAGTTTTCATTGTAGTAGACCTATACACCATTGACTAATGTAGTGGAAATCTCTCAATTGAAAGTGTTTACAGTAGTAGCCTATAGGCTACACCTTGTTTGAAATACTTTTGAAAAAATATAGCCTATATTTTAAACTTGCCTATAGGCTATTTCGTTATGAATGGCATAGATATGACTATGTCATTTATTGAAAACAATTCTCACCATTATTTCGAAATTTGCTATTAAATCTGCCGTTATGGAAATCTTTAAAATACAATATTGAGCATCAAAACTAAAATTCCACATATGTGCATGATAAAATCTTGCATGAAAAACCATGATCATTTGATTACTGTCTCCAACCAGAGTTCCGCATTAAGGTGCGCACCTTACCTGTGTGTATTTCCAGCATTGTGTAATGCTTCACTTTTACGCGTGTATCCAAAAAAGAAAAAATCAAACACTCGATCCTTGACACCGACTATAAACCCATAGATAAAGTATTTTTGATTTTTTTTTAACTTCAAAATGAGGTGCTGGTCTTCTTACGTAGTGCTATAGCTGTAGCATACATGCCATGGGTGTCTTTCTGGGAGAACGGATTGCCCCCCTGCGTATTGCAGATGTGCAAGCTTTGAAGTCTGTCGCATGCAGGTGTTGATCATGGGTAGATTTTGCGAAGCCCCGTCCACAGCCACAGATTTTTTTTTACAAAGGGAAGAGGGAGAGAATACCGACTCCGTGTGCTCATGCTTTCTGACAACTTGGGGGATTTTATGCATCATCGTTTTAATAAGCACCGACAACATACACGACCTTCTCCAATCCTGCCAGCTAAAGAGACCAACCTTACACCCCCACCCAGTGAGTTGCCCTGATCCCTGGCTTTACGGGTTTAGCATTAAAAACATTCTACTGCAATTTGGGATTAGGTCCAATACTCTTGTAACAATGGGATTTTTCTATTTGATATCTTGATACTTGTGTGCGATCGATCACATTGGCTTTGACAGGTCTAGGCCTATATGTTGGACGCTTGAGTCATACAATAGTTGGAGCAAATGTGTGAGATTAGCCAACAAATATTGCGTTTGTATTTTTCCCTGGCCATTGTAATATGCATTGGGACTGTTTGGCCCTGACACAAACGTAATTGACTTGACTATTGGAATTTACCTTGTATTACTAATATTAGCCTTATTTCGTTCATAGCCAAAGCCTACCATATAAAATGGCACCTATAGTTTTGTGTGAATAAATGTAAAGTGAAAACCTCTTGTCATTCGAAACGCTCTTGATTTGCCTCCAACCATTAGCGCTGTTACATCCTTGTTTCGATTAGGCCATTCTAAAAATCCAAAGAGGATGTTAAAATGCCTTCGTTTGATATCACATTTAGTTAACTTATGTTCTTGACAGTCTTTTGATTATTTGCTCGTGATTGATTATTGCAGCTCCAGCTACAATTAGAGTTTATTTTAATACGAGATCAACAAAGCACCAGCCGAGGCCGGTGGAGTGGAGACAGACGCCTCATGACCTTCTCATCAATTAATCCCGAAAATAAATACAATTTGTATTTTCCATTCTTTATGCACATTTATCTATTGAAAAATGATTTTATGTTAGGTCATAGCATATAGATGGTCTATTCCACCTCCAGGTTAATTAATATACAACTTTATTTGAGAGGAGAGCCTCGTTCGGCTGAACTGCACTATTATTCTGAAATGAATCCAAGTGAGGATTATCTCATTCATTAATATTCATGAAAATATATTACACGGTTAAATCAGAGCCTCTTCACCACTTTTGGAAAGTATTCCGCTGCTATGGGAAGAAAAAAAAGCTCAAATTTGTATAAACGATGGTGTAGTTCACAAATAATTACAGCCAAAACGACAACATTGAAAAGTGATTTTCTCTGAAGACTCACACAGGGTCCAAAATTCATTACTACCGAGGGCAGGCAGTTTTCCTTGTTATTTTAATCAATCACATAGGCTACACTAAAGCTATATTCCGCTTTAAGATATTACATTTTGTTTTAGGTAATCTAATTTATTTTCTTAGTTGGCATTTTTTAAATGTAGGCCTAGTTCCCAACTCTCTTTACATTATCCCTTTTGATGGGAACATTGTTCATTCATGCGCTTATAGATTCTCTCATGTTTTAGTTTTTTTTCGTGAGAGTAGTAAACACTGAGACCTGTTTAAATTTCCCTTTTAGGGTAGCCTACATATTTTGTTTTTATGCAAACGCAAAATCTACTCGATGCAAATGAAATTAAGAACAACGTATGCCCACCTCTAAGTAGAGCATTCAATGTAATGTAGTTTTTTTTATTAACTATAACTTTTTCAATTGTGGGCTCTCACGTGGTATAGATTTATTTATGCATTTGAAGGGGAGGGGTTTTCTTGCAACCCTCGCAATTGACTGGTTACCCCTGGCGCCTGTAAGGGCGCACGGGCGCTGGGATTGGACGAAGTGGGCCATTCTGCATGTGTCTTACGTTCATAGAAGGGCAGGGTAGGCAGAAGGTGATCAATCTCCATCCGTCAACATTGGCAATCACCTTACCACAGTGCAAGACGCACAAGATAATGCGATTGATTTGATTTTTATAATATTTTTTCCAATTTTGAAAATTTCCTCTGACACACACACCACTGGGGTTCGAATTGGAAAAACTGCGTTGGTTGATGTAAACTCCATATTTGCCGTTTGCATATTTCTCATCCATTTGTGTGCGCACCTTCTTACAGTTGTCTCGCTTTCAAGACCATTTTCTCCATGTGGATATTTTTGATGTACGGGATCTTCTTGGCTTGACTACAAATAAAGCAAATAAGAAAACAGGATCCCAAACGCAAGGTGAGTGGTAAATACAAAGTTTTTGTTGTCTTATATAGGCCTATATAGTCCGTTTAGGCTACTTCCTTCTGTGTTGTTATTCGTCATTTTGATAGGAATTATTGATACAATTGAGCCTACTGTAAGCTATTCACATTTTTCGAAAACGATGTATTTGTATTTGATAAGACTACGAAGTTTGTATTTAGGTGCAACTTGCGTTGGAAACCGTTGTGCGCTCATTGAAAATGGTCCTTGTAAACAATCACGCTCGTCAGGGGAAGCTATCAAGAATTACCTGACAGTAAACTCCCCATTGGAAATGTGGTTTTTATGGTCAATTAATATCTTAAATGCTACTTCTGGTTTGGTTGTGCACTTCTTATCTGAATGGAACAATTCGGAGGCCTGACAAGACAAATGGAATGGATATGTTTGAGGTGTTGTTAATTTATTTTGCTCATAAGACCTTTTCTCATAATGGTATCCCTGGAGCTCTCATCTGAATCGCAATAGAGTTAATTTGCACAGAGTTTTTCACCATTTACATTTGCTTAAACTCCTTCCTGCGGTTATGGAAATACAGTGAAGTATTTACGCCTCAATACAAATCCATCAGCTGGTCCGTGTCCACAGCATGGGCCCAGGTAGGTCTATTTAGGGGCCAAATACATTGGAGCCAGTCAATGAAGTAAAAAAACAAACCTATTTGTTTCAACCTTTACATTAAGGCACCCCCTCCAATTACTGAAATGCATCTACATACGATACCATATATGCCATCAGGCCTATTGGTATGATTTGAAATCTTTATTTGAATATTTTTCTAACTTGATATGCTAAGAGCATATTTAAATTATATACACATCTTATTAACAGGAGTATAACCATGTAATAACAATGATAACAACAACTTAATAACTATTAAAATGCATCATTAGTGTTATTTATTCTATTTAAAAAAAAATCTAAGCTAAAAACAAGCCATTTGATAATGTGTCACATCCGGTCTCTGCTGAAAGAGAATGTTCCATTATAGGCAATCCTGTAGAACACGCTCCAGAAGATTTGGATATTATATAGGCCTATAATGTTTATTTGTAAAATATAATGTCATGCAATAATTTGACAAGTAGCCAACTCCATTTTCATTTCAACATGAAACTTTGGACAATTTTTTATTTTACGCAGGCGTAGCATGTCGGCCCTGTATAGCCTGTAGGCCTAGACAAACTACGTGTGAAATAGTATAATAAATTGTGCTGATTTTGTCATAAAATGGCCTACAATAACAGTGAAATGGATTATAAGGCTGTTTATGTGTAGCTTGTGCGTGCATTTGTAATTTATGCAGGCTGTTATGACACTGATGCATGCTTTATTTTATTGATCAAAGTCATTAATCTTATCTTGCAGGCCTCTCCATGCACCGGAAATGTGCTTAAGGGGGCGAATGTAATGTTTTTAACGGTGGATGAATTTATCAAAACAAGGGCTTAGAGGTTGCCCATAAGAAGTCATGCGTCAAATGGAATTAATACACGACTGGCGACAGATTTCATCCGTAATTATTTCTTTACTGTAGTGATGGATGACTGCAACCTGAGTTTATAATTGGATATCGTTTAGCCACGTTAACGCGTCATGTCATACTTTGTTTGAAACCTTTGTAAATGGCTAATCTTTGAATTTTTGGAGAGTGAATTGGCTTTTTGATTCAGGTTTGATATGACTCGCGTGAAAGTTGGAAGTCTTAATCAAAATGTCCTATAGGCTACTGGAATTTAGCAACGTTTTAATATTGGAAATATAAGTTCACTTTGATGTTGTCTCAGGCTATTTCCAATTTAATTAACCATAATTTGAATATAGGGACATTTTAATTATTATAATCAAGTCTAGTTTGTTGAATTGCTCTTTGTAGGCTACTCAATATAAATGAATAACCAACATAAATCTATATTTTCACATTCTACTCACAATGCGTTTTCCATTGCAGGATTTCATCAAGGGACTGCAACATCGGGGGAATCGAACTTTTCCGCACGGACTTTGGTTTCCCCGTGTCCGTTTCTAGCATGATGTCATACCTCAAACAGGCCCCGTACGGCATGAACGGAATGGGGCTCAGCGGTACGGCCATGGACCTACTGCACCCATCAGTGGGGTATCCAGGTCAGCAAAATGCCCCCAAACACTTCACACCAACTGTGCCAAATCCGAATCACCTGTGACGTTATATTAGATAGTTGTCTGTTGCTCATTATGAAAAAATATAGGACCAGGTAGCAAACACTGCTCTTCCGCAATACATTCCATGTGCATCTGGATAATGACGCACTTCCAAATGCACGGAAACGCATAATTAAGCACGAGTTGGTGTCAAACTATAGGATGGTATGATATAATAACAAGATTAATTCCTGCGCACCATTATCCGTTTTCACATGTTACATGACTAACTAACTGTAGACCTAGTGTGATTGCGGTGAAGGCCTATTGTAGTGCAGAAGATGCTGTGATTAAACACGGTTAAATATTTCCAATATATATAAATCACAGGTTATTTTCATTTTGAAGAAACACTTGACTTTGATTTTGAAGCTAGCTATTTCTGAAATATATTAGAATATGAGATGGACGCTTTGAATACTTATATTGAACCTCGTTTGTTTTGATGAACAATGTTTTTTCATTTCGTTTTATTATCAGATCGAAATGGCTTCGAAGAGTTTCCATTGACAGGTTTCTATTCCATTTCAGCGCATCCGAGGAAACAGCGGAGAGAGAGAACAACTTTTACACGCACTCAGCTGGACATTCTGGAGTCCCTTTTCGGCAAGACGCGCTACCCAGACATTTTCATGCGGGAAGAAGTCGCACTGAAAATCAATTTGCCTGAGTCTAGAGTACAGGTTTGTACAGAATTGCAATTATATCGTTACTACTGTACTGTAGCCTACTATTGTTTGTGTGAACCTGTGGGCCATTTGTGGGAACTTGCAAAACTGCAGCGACCAGGACAAGGCCTATTACTGCACCTTTCAATCAATATTATACCTTTTATTTAGGATTTTATTGAGTTTCAACACAGTTTAGTTTTTATTTGGACTAAATGTTATGTAGCCTACACTGCAATCCAGCTCTTAGATGCAATTGTATACTACATGAATAAACAATATGCATAATCAGATATTAAAACTGGTTATGATAGTTCAACAAATATGTGTTTTAAAGGTATAATTTATGTTCAGCTCTCACATAAGGGCGATCTTTAGAACTTTTGAAATGGGCGCGAGAGCCTTTATGTAACCAGCTTTTGTACCCCTCTCACAGGCTTACTGCAATTATGGCAGCTTCCTCTAGAGTTTCACTGATTTAGCTGAGAAATGTGCACAGTATGCAGGGTAGGCAGCCAAGCCTGTGCAGAGGTAGCCTGCAAATCGAACACTGACTGCACAACAGTTTCATGTAATTTCCAAATGTTTGCAATGCCTAAAATGGGACAGGAGAATCAGTGAATAAAGACTAATGTTGTTTTGTTGACCTACAAGAAGATATGAACGATTGATTGATAGAGTTGATATTAGTTATGCCTTTGCAATAAATTATTATATATGCCACTAATTGTACAAATTACAAAGCATTCAATATTTTTTATGGAAATAGCTATTCAGTTTGTTGCAAGTTGGCATGACCAGTTTGACAACTGCTTACTAAATCAATGTTTTGCAAATTTGTTTGGACAGATGACATACAGCATTTTAAAGTTGACCCTTTGCCTCTTGTTGTGCAGGTATGGTTCAAGAACAGGAGAGCCAAGTGCCGTCAGCAGGCCCAGAGTGGAAACAATGCTAAAGTCCGGCCCGCCAAGAAGAAGTCCTCTCCAACCAGGGAGAGCACAGGCTCAGAGAGCAGTGGTCAGTTCACCCCTCCGGCAGTGTCCAGCACCGGCTCCTCTTCCTCCTCCTCTTCCTCTGCCTCATCCGGTGTCTCCCATCCCTCCGGCCATGGAGGCCAAGGCCTGAGCAGCACTTCTACCTCCGTCACCGCCCCAGTGTCCTCCATCTGGAGCCCTGCGCCCATCTCCCCGGCCCCCGCACCACCCCCTGTCCCCGACCCTGCTCCCCCCACCAGTGCCTCCTGCATGCAGAGGTCTGTTTCAGGTACTGGAGGAACGTCCTCCTACCCGGTGTCTTACAGCCAGACAGCTGCGGCCTATGGGCAGGGCTACCCCGCCCCGGCGTCAACGGGTTCCTACTTCGGAGGGGTGGAATGCAGCTCGTACCTGGCCCCCATGCACTCTCACCACCACCCCCACCATCCCCACCAGCTCAGCCCCATGACGGGCTCCTCCATGTCTGGCCACCCGCACCACCACATAGGGCAGACCTCAGGGCACCACCACCATCACCACCCCCACCACCACCAGGCCTACAGCGGGGCCGGCCTGGCCTTCAACTCCTCAGACTGTCTGGATTACAAAGAACAAACGGCCGCAGCCTCTTCATGGAAACTCAACTTCAACACCACCGACTGCTTGGACTACAAAGACCAGGCCTCCTCCTGGCGGTTCCAAGTCTTGTGACTTTTTTTCCCACTTTCAAATAAGTATTCTTGTTTAGTTTTATTGTTGAAGAGCTTTTTTCTTCAAAGCATTAAGAAGTTAACGAATAGTAGAGACAATTATCAAGCCTTTTTTAAGTTAATGTTTGGAGAATTCAAGTAACGCACAGATGAAAAAGCCTGTCCGGGTGGCATCTTCTTTGACCATTTTATGAATCAACTTTAGAACAAGCTTGAATTGGATCCACTCACCCATACTTTGGGACATCAAGGAATATTTTTCTACACATGAACTCTGAAAACTGCCCTCCAACATGTTCAAAAGTATGTAGTTAATCCCTTTGAGTTAGAATTGTTTTTTCAGGATGGAGCAAGAGCACTGTGTTATGGATTTTACATAAATATTCCCAAGAACGACCAATTGAGGGCGAACATTTGTCACAAAATGTGTTTTATGGAAAAATATGATATTTTATGCTCATGTATTTCATATAGGCCTACCCATTAGATACCATTTAAATTGAGAAATTAAGATGCTGCTATTGTTTTCAGTTTGCTGATATTCAAATTTATGTTAATTCCAACTTGAATATTGTTCATTGTCCGGACTGTAGTGTTGTATTTTGGAAGTTTAATTGCAGCACTTGTTTATAAGGTCAAAGATTTTGCTATTGTTCTTCACGAAGAAAATGTGAATTAGACACGCAATGTCAGTATTCTAATGAAATTTAAAATGTACATTCGTGTCTTTATAATAAAGATTCGTTAAAAACATGGTTGGTTTCTCCAGTGCAAAGAGTGTTCTTATCTGAATACCTAGTGGTGCTTTTTTTGGCAGGTTTAGATTACATTAGTTGAAATACTTTGACGGCCCTCAGAACTTTATGACCAAGGAATGAACATATTTTAAAAGTAGTGTATTGCAGACAAATTGAATTTTAGGTGTAAATTCAAGACTAATAATGGACTTGGCCTAAAGATGGTTTAATTTTTTTTATCCATGTGCCACTTTATTGCCATTATGATTAGGGCTCTTGTGTTTTGCACTATCACGTGACATGCCTGGATTTGAACATGTATTTCAAGCTTTTTCATCAAACTATCCTCATTTATTTTTATGTCAGATATTCCAGCACCATCCTTAGACAATTGCTTAAATATTGGGTGTATTTATCATTTCTGCATAAAGCTTAAAATACAGAAGAACATCTTGCTGTGTCATATGATTGCGCAAAACACAGGGCCCTAATTATGATCTGTTTTCATTTTCCCCTTGAGAGAAGTTGTCATTTTTATTTGAATGTTGATGAGACAAAATAGCACAACACATTTTATTATGAACACACGCATTTTTACCTCCTGTTCAACCCGTCTCCATTCATGTCAAATCGAAGACAGAAAGGCCTGTTATTTTGACCGAACATTCGGTGGAAACAAAATAAAACAACAAAAATCATGTCCTTAGATTATCCCATTTTATAATAGGCCTACTGCATTGATATAGGGTATTCATTAACAAGTTTGTCTTTTTAAATTGAAGTTGCGGCCTCAAATGGGAACGAAATGGGCCTACGAATGACAATTGCAATAGGCTATCGGTTCCTATCATTTGTGTTACATAAAGTTACATATTTGTAGTGATCCTTCATCACAAAATGCTTAATAACTTTCAGGTTTTGCGTTTATTTGTTTTGGGGAGTGGAAATGTTGTATATTTCCCGAGAGATATGTAATTATAATCCACACTAAGACGCCAATCTCCATTATGCATTCACAGATGCATTTGATGTTAACACCCAAAATTATGTTCATGTTTATTTTGGGCTCTGTGATTTAATTTGAGGGGCTGTCAAATTTGTGTGTGTGTGTGTGTGTGTGTGTGTGTTTTTGGTTTTACTATCCTTGTGGGGACCAGAAATCCTCACAAGGATAGTAAAACAAGGAAAAGTGGGGACATAAAAAAATTGGTTTAGGGGTTAGGTTTAGGGTTATGGTTAGAGTTAGGGGTTAAGGAAAATAGGATTTTGAAGGGGAATCAATTGTTTGGTCCCCACAAGGATAGTAAAACAAGTGAGTGTGTGTGGTGCAAAACTATGAATGTGTATATATGTAAAACTATGTAGTGCAAATTGTAATATTCCTATACTTAGAAATTACAAGCTTTTTTGCATTTCCACTACCAACACAACACAGGAAATTCCTAACACAATCCCTTCAGCGGCTGTAAGATGCATTCTCCTTGGCCACCAGCTCAATGAGTAAACTTCACGAGGTTCAATCAAAACAAATTCAGGTTAGCAAACATGTATCCTGGCATGCTGAGCATTTATCTTTGCATGTTGACAGTAATGTATAATTTTGTTGATCCAAGACACAAAAAGGGGACAAATCACGATTTTAATTAACAGAAATCCCTGCTCTTGTGGTGTTCAACACCACAGTCGACCAGCTGGACAAACAGGTTTGGGCAAACATGGCGCCCAGGAGGAGTAGCCGACATGACATGCGTTTGCCTGGCTGTCTCCCGCTGGGTAGTGCCAGTATGCCGCCACCCACCCCTCCCCCCCATGCAAACAGGCCTGGATTTACTACATTTGCATCCAACAAGGAAGAACTCATCTCCAGGCCGTTCAAGGAATTAAGGCAGCTCATTTTGCTGAGCGGTCCCTATCCCAAACACTTGTTCTGATGTCCCATCACTACAGCAGCCAACTGCTCTTATGGATGTGGGCAGTATTGTTCAGATGTGGACACTTTGACAACATAGTGTGGGGACAGTGTGCTGTATTGTCGTTAATGCCAAATGGCATTGTACTACTATACTCACATTGTCCTGTTAGATTATCACAGTTTGATAAACAGTAACATTTGCTTTGATGGTATACTAAAAAGTAAGTCTTTATAATACTTAACTGCTTATGATTAGAATTGAAATCGTCATCTAATCTCAGACTATTCTGACCGTCATGACTTGGGGAATCATCTATATGTAGATAGATCTACAATCAATCTACATTTTAAAAACATATCAAGTGGCCTATCCTTTCACACAACCAGAAACAACTAAGTACAGAAAGTGGTTATAAACGTGGGTCAATTTAGTTGACATTGCTTTAAAGGGGATATCCTCATCCTCACCCGTCCTTACCCTCAGTAACCCCTCAAGTAGACACTCTTGAGTCCTATCTCAACTAGAACCAGGTGACACTCTGACCTTGGCGGCCTAACTCAACCTCGGCCTAAATAATTCACAGAGGATGTGGCGGCCAACAGCGAACGGAGCTACTTCCTTGATTGCCTTGGAACCTGCCGGTGACCTGGGTGCTCGTAGACGAGGCGTATGTCCGGCAGCTGAACCGTGACAGTCGTCTAAAGTTTGCATGTGGAGGGAGACATTGTCTGTCTGGCTGAGTTTGATGGAAGGAAGATCCGCAGAGAGATGGCTGGATACAGGCCCGTCCAGGGCTCAAATAGTATTTGAAATCTTTCAACATCTTCCAAATACTTTGAGCGTTTGCTTGAACCTGCCTGCTGTCCCAGATGGGCGAGGTTTGAGGTTTTGGAGTATTCCATTGGTGCCTTTGTGCCAGACAAGCTCAAGCAAGCACAGCTCAAGTATTTGAGTGATTTGAACCCAGGTCTGATACAGGCTGTAACCATTACCAACCGTCATCAGATGCAGTACAGGAGGCTCCACTCATGCTATCTGATTGTGGGCCTCTAAACAACAGCTATACTGAAAGCCATAATCAAATCTATGAATGAGTATATTAATCAAATATATCAGTGAATTGTCTGAAAGACTAAATGGCTATACCTCAATGTTTTCCAATCTGATTTGACTTGCTCCTCCATTGGCTACAGAAAATCGCCAGTGTGTTGTTGTAATTATGATATAACTAGGTAACTAGGTAGGAGAAGGTTCAGAAGGTGTTTAGTTGGAGTTGAATTGCTAAGATTTGAAATGCGTTGAATTGTCTTCAGAGAATCATATTTAAGTGATGAGGTTAGTCGTGTAATGGACACACCACGTAAATGGTATTGAACCATTTGATTTGCTTTCTCTCAACCACCTTGTCAAACCTCCGTCATACCCGAAGGCTGACGAACCTCTAAAAGATCCTCCAACACACTCTTAATATGTTTATCTAAGAGAAAATACAAAATAGAGGGCTCCTTTCCATCCTCCACATCTTCCTCAGTCACAACCTTGTGAAACACCAACAAACAACACAACACAGCAGCAGTGCTTCTGCATGAACGAAACACCACAGAGGGGAAAAAAAGCCAAATCATGGCTTCTGATATTGTGTACTTTGCCACTTCCAGCATATAGCCTCCTTGTGTATATTTTCATATGGAAATCCCCTTAGCATGGCGGGTAAATAGATTACGATACAGTGGGGGATTATGGATCGCCGCGCGCCGCTGTCTCGCTAATCCCAAGCACAGACTGTCAACAGCCCCTGACATGTCCGGGACGGGACTCCTTCTTCTCACACAAAATGGCTCCTTCCTCCGCTACTTAAAAAGCCAATTTGGGGCCTTCCCGTCATGAATATTCCCCCACTCGTTATTCTAGCACGAGGAGTTGAGGACAGTCCACGGTTGAAACGATTCCTCACTTGTGTGGTTTTGGGTGTTGTAACTTTTTGATATGCAAGTACAAGTTTAGTATACTCAAATGTAGTATGTATGAGATGCAATGGTTCTCACATAAAAACCCTTCATACATACCGCTATATTTCAGTTAAAATACAGTGCATTTCAATATATAGAACAAGAGTTCAATGTATCAAAACAAAAACACAGTGTGTATCATGAAGGATACCCTGACATGGAAGCACTACTTCCAAGTGCCTCTTCCAGCTGAGTATCTGTGAGCTAAAGCAGGGCCTCTCCTTGAAACAAACGGCGATGGGGAATCTCTTTGTCGGGCCGTGCCTAAGCCTAATCTAATGATTCAGATGACTGGGGGCCGTACTTAGTGGGATAGCCAGTGGCTCGGTTCAAACAAACCCA